CTGGCCAGGATCCTCTTCTCCAGCCAGGACATTCCCATGCCTGGAATGCTTTTCTTCCTCACCTCAATCTCTACAAATCCCAGGCTTCCTTTAAAGCACTGTTTATGAACCACCTCCTCCTAGAAGTCTTTCCTGATTTCACCCCTCTCCTTTTTGAAATCACTTTGTATATACTTTGTATTTTCTCATCAGTATACTTCTTATCACTCCCTGGTTTCCTTTTCTGTTTGGGGTCCCCACGGCCTGGTAGGTAACAGGGGCTTGGGAGATCACGCTTCCCACCTCAGCTGTGCTCCTTTGTAACCTCTGGGCCTCAGTTTCCTCCTTGGTACTGTGAGAGGGGTTGGCCTCCCTGGGCTCCCTTCCAGCTCCAAGTCAGTGATATTACAATTCTCCTCGAAGACATTTAAGCAGACACCGTGACTCAGACTTAATCCTTTTGCCCTTGATGTGGCTGCCTTTCCTGTTCATGGCCTGTTAACCACCCAGGTAGGGATTAGCTGGCACCTCTGAATAAAGAAGACTGCTTATGTCTCAGAAATTCATTTGTAGAGCTGAGATGGAGGAGGACCTTTGATCATCTACACACTGATGACTTTACTTATCCTGTTTCCCCTTCACCTGCATGTGGATCACTGGGGTGCCATGGTCCTCGGTGCTGAGCAGTGAGTGCAGTCAGATGCCCAAGCCTGCACACGATGCTGATGCTGTTTAATTTCTGCTTGGAATAAATGGGGATTTGGGAGGAATCCTTCAGTACAAAAGGTCCTTTCCTTCTAAGTGTTTAAGGTGTCACAAGTTAACAGTGATGTCACAGGATGTGGAACATGGTCAGTGCCGGATAAGTGGTACTGGAGTTGGATTATTGGAGAGGCAGCATCATTTAGTAGATAGAATACTGAACAGAATCCGGATGAGGAGGGGTCTGGATCCTGGTCATTGTGGGAGCTTGGATTTAGAGCAAGGAGGGACTCACTTAGCTCCTCGTCTCCTAGCCGCCCTCATTTTCATTATTGTTGTTGTTCCGTGAATCTAATTATTTGGGGTTTTCTTGGCAGAAATGCTGGAGTGGTTTTGCTATTTCCTTCTCCAGCTCATTTTACAGATGAGGCAAGCAGGATTAGGTGACCTGCCCAGGTATAGTAAGCTAGTAAGTGTCTGAGGCCAGATTTGAACTCAGGTCTTCCTGACTCTAGGCCTGGAGCTCTATCCACTGTGCCACTTTCTGATATGGAAGCATTTGACAGTGGCAAAGACTTTTCTAGATTCCAGGCCTGTTTCTGATCTTTACTGGCTGGGTGGCTCAATTCCAGTCACTTAACCTCCTAGTGCTTGGGGCAGGTGTCTGAGAAAGCTAGCAGTGGGAAGGGAGTTTCCTTCCTGGGACTGCCTCTCCCTTTGATGTTGAAACAAATCCTAAACAAAGCCAAGCCCTTTTCTCCCAGGGTCATTATCTGTCTCTTTCATTAGCCAAAGGTCATCTTGTATAGGGTGATTCTCTGTTACCTGGGACTTTTGAATTCTGGAGATTTGTAGATTCCAAAAGTGGGGATGAAAAAGAAAACTGAAGCAGACCTATGCCCCAAGGCTGCAAATTAGAGACAAGTTGCCAATCTAACTCTGATGGAGTTTTTTTTAAATTCAGCTTTATTTTTTTTAATTACAAAAACACAACAAATCAAAAACTTTCGTCTCTCCTATTTCTCCCACCCACTAAAAAAAGGAAAAAATTATTGAAACATGCATGATGGAGGAAAAAAAATTGAGCATTGACCATATCCAAAAAAATATACGTTTCAGGCTGTGCCCTGGGTCCAATTGAGTGGCAGCTAGGTGGTTTGGTGGATAGAGCACCGGGCTTGGAGTCAGGAAGTCCTAAGTTCAAATCAGATACTTACTAGCTGAGTAACCCTGGCAAGTCACTTACCCTGTTTGCCTCAGTTTCCTATCTGTAAAATAAACATAATAGTAGTGTTTACCTCACAGGGATATTGGGAGGAGGCATTGAGACAATATTTGTAAAGTGCTTGGCATAGTGCCTGGCATGTTGTTGTCAGTCATTTTTCAGTCACATCTGACTCTGTGTGACCCCTTTTTGGGGAGGTTTTCTTGGCAAAGATACTGGAGTGGTTTGCCATTTCCTTCTGCAGCTCATTTTACAGATGAGGAAACTGAGGCAAACTGGTTGAAGTGACTTGTCCACAGCTAGAAAGGGTCAGAGGCCAGATTTGAATTCAGTTCGTCCTGAGTCTGGGTCTGGCGTTCTATCTACTGTGTCACCTAGATGCCCTGGTAAATAGTAGATGCTTAATAAATGTTTCTTCCCTTCCTTTCACTCTGTCAGGTGGGTAGCATGTTTCGTCATGAGATCTCTAGAGTCATGGTTGGTCATTTTTATCTCTTGGTTGTCTGCTGTGTCTTAAACAGTGTTGCTGTTATTGTATAAATCAGGGGTGGGGAACCTGTGGCCACATGTGGCCCTCTAACTCCTCAAATGCAACCGTTTGAATCCAAACTTCACTGAACAAATCCCCTTAATAAAAGGATTTGTTCTGTAAAACTTGGACGCAGTCAAAGGGCCTCACTTGAGGACCTAGAGGGCTGCATGTGGCCTTGAGGCAGCTGGGTGGTACAGTGGATAGAGCACTGGGCCTGCAGTTGGGAAGACCTGGTTCAAATCAAGCTTTAGACAGTTGCTAGCTGTGAGGCCCTGGGCAAGTCACTTACCCTCTGTTTGTCTTCAGTTGTAAAATGGAGATAACAGCACCTATCTTTCAGATAGTTGTGAGAATCACATGAGATAATAATTGTAAAGCCCTGAGCACAGTGTCTGGCCCACACATAGTAAGCACTACAAAACTTAGCTGTTATTATTATTATTATTATTATTATTTTTTGGCTAGGCAATGGGGTTAAATGACTTGCTCAGGGTCACACAGCTAGTAAGTGTTATGTGTCTGAGGCCGGATTTGTATTATTATTATTATTATTGTTATTATTATCTGTGAGCAGTTGTATCCTGCTAGAATAGAAATGCTTATCAAATGAGACAAGATTTGTAAAGTGCACAGTGTGATACTATAGCAGCTGGCAGTGCAACCTAGTAGGTGCTATATAAATATGAGCTATTATTATTAATAGCATTATTAGCTCTGCTCACTTGACTTTTCATCAGTTCATTTCCAGGTCTTCCCAGGTTTCTCTGAAACTGTCCCTTTCATCATTTCTCATATTGTGATACCATTCCATCACATGCATATAAGTATGATTTGTCCACTCATTTACCCAATTGATGGGCACCCCTGTAGTTTCTAGTTCTTTGCCAGGTTTTCTTTCTTGAAGTTCCCCACTGGTCTCCAATGGTTGGCCCTTATGTGGTCTTATTGTTAATTTTTTTTTTTAAGGCAATTGGGGTTAAGTGACTTGTCCAGGGTCACACAGCTAGTGTTAAGTGTTTAGTCTGAGACCGGATTTGAACTCAGGTCCTTCTGACTTCAGGGCCTGTGCTCTATCCACTGTGCCACCTAGCTGCCCCATTTATTGTTAATTTTTAATTGCTGTCTTCTATTCTTTAATCACCTTCATTTCCCATCTCCCTCCTCCTTCCCCTTACAAGTGAGCCATACCTGGCCACAAAGAGTTATCTCTTGTGTCTATTTGTTTGTTTGTTTGTTTGTTTGTGTTTTTGGTGAGGCAATTGGGGTTAAGTGACTCGCCCAGGGTCACACAGCTAGTAAACGTCAAATGTCTGAATCCAGATTTGAACTCAGGTCCTCCTGACTCCAGGGCCAGTGCTCTCTCCACTGCACTACCTAGCTGCTCCTATCCCTTGTGTCTGATGCCTAATGAGCCTTCCACACTCCTAGCCTCCACCTCATCTGTAAAATGAGGGCGTTGGACTATGTCTGAGATTCCTTCTAGTCCATGACTGGATCATCCGGTCCTGACTCCATGAGGATTGAGGAAGGAGGTTCATTTCTTCCTTTTTTCCAGGGTCAACCTTGGTCATCATAATTACCTAGTATTCATTTTTCTTTTTTGTATTATTTCCATTTATGTCATTGTAATCATTGGATTTGTCATTTTCCTCCTCTTTTGTTATCTTTTTTGTTTGTTTTTGTTTGGTTTTGCTTTTTGGTGAGGCAGTCAGGGTTAAATGACTTGCTCAGGGTCACACAGCTAGTAAGTGTCGAGTGTCTGAGATCAGATTTGAACTCAGGACCTCCTGACTCCAAGGCTGGAGCTCTATCCGTTGCTCCACCTAGCTGCCCCTTCTTTCGTTATCTTATTTGAACCCCACAATAACATGATGAAGCGGCCGTCCTGCAAGTAATACACCCATTTTAGAGCTAAGGAAAGTGAGGCTCACCAAGTGGCTATGTGCCTGTGGTAATAAAGCTCACAAACATGATCTGTTGGATTTCTTGTAATCCTTTGTCATCCTACTTTAGGAAGCAAAGCGTTCAAGTCAACCAGTTAGCAAGCATTTATTAATTAAGCACCTGCGATGTGCCAGGCACTGTGCTAAATGCAGGAGATACAAAGAAAGCCAAAAATAGGATCCCTCCCCTCGAAGAGCTCCCAGTTAAAAGGCAAAAGGGGGAGCCTGCAGGCTTCAAAGACAGGGCCTCCCTGACTGTAAGTCCTGCACCTGCAGTATACCACTCTTAGCCTATCTGAGCCTCAGTTTCCCTGTCTGTAAAACGAATCTGATAATAATAGCACATGTCACCCAGGTGTATAGAGGGATGGATTCTCCATAAATTTCAAAAACATTGTGTTTCTTCTGGTAGCATTTGTATGAAATGTTAAATCTCTCCATAAAGGTGAGTGACTAAATAATTATTATTATAATAAATATTTGTGTTGATGATTTACACTTCAGAACCATAAGTGGCATGCCTGAAAAGGTGCCCACGATGCCCCTTCCAGGAAAGGATTCTGACTCAGTCAAGGAATATTCCTATATTCAAAATCTCTCCTTTTCCTCTCTCCCCCAGGGACATGCTGATAACCAACCTGGATGCATCTATGACCTATGATGAACTTTGCGATGAAGTGAGAGAGATGTGTAGTTTACACCAGCAGCAGCCAATCACCCTTAAATGGATCGATGATGAAGGTTTGTCCAAATTGGCTCTGCTCTGGGACCTCATTTTCAGCAGTTCCTAAAGTGTCAAATCTGTGCCACCTAAGCATTTTCTTTTCTTTTCTTTCCTTTTTTTTTTTTTTTTGGCTAGGCAATTGGGATTAAGTGATTTACCCAGAGTCACACAGCTAGTAAGTGTTATGTGTCTGAGGCCAGATTTGAATCCTCCTGACTCCAGGGCCAGTAGTGCTCTATCCACTGCGCCACCTAGCTGCCCAAACCTAAGCATTTTCAAAACCAACTGCTTCCCAGGATAGATACGTAAAGAATGTTAGTAGCAGCACATGTGTTCAAATCCCGATTTCTCTGCCATCTAACTGTGTGACCTTGGACAAGTCACCTGTCTGGATCTGTTTCCTACTTTGTAAAATGAGAGGATTGGACTAAATGATTTCTAAGGTCTTTTCCATCTTGAAATCTATATAATATAATATACAATTATATAATGTTTAGGGTTTGTAAAGCTTGTAGTGGTGATGATAATGATAATAATAATAATAATAATAATAGCATCTGGAGCTGTTCCCTGGCTTTGAAGTTTGCAAAGCACTTTACAAACAATATCTCATTTGACCTGCACAACAACCCCAGAAACAGGTGCTATTATTATCCCCATTGTACAGATGAGGAGACTGAGACCTAGAGAGGTCGGATGACTTGCCAAGGGTCTATATCTGAAACTGATAGGATTTTCTTATTGGAACCAATATTAAAGAAGAAACATTAACGCCTACCTTACCCCTGAACTGAAGGACTGTGGGATCTTTCCATCTGCCTTAAAGCTGAAACCTTCCATATGTATCTTCTCTCTCATTAGAATGTGACCTTCTTGAGGGCAGGAGTTGTCTTAATATTTGTGTCCACAGCACTTAGCACAGTTCTTTGCACATAGTAAGTGATTAACAAATGCTTCATTCATTCATTTTAGACAACTAGTATGTTTCTTGAGGTGGGATCTGAACTCAGGTTTTCATGATTGAAAATCCAGTGCTCTGCTTGGGGCAGCCCAGTGGCAAAGTGGAGAGAGCGGACCTGCAGTCAGGAAGACCTGAGTTCAGATCTTGCCCTAATCTCTAGCTGTGTGACCCTGGACAAGTCACTTGCCCAATAATCTTAAGCTGCTTTTAGAGAATCACTGAGTCTAGGATGGCATCCAGGGAACAATCTGAAGAAACAGGAGAGCAGGAACAGGGCTTCTTAACCTTTTTTGTTTCATGAACACAGAAAAGCACGCGGGCTTGCTTCTTTCAGGTCTCAGCTAGACCTAGAGTCAGAAAGATCTGAATTCAAATCCAGCTTAACTGTGTAGCCCTGGGCAAGTCATTTAACCTATGTTTGCTCCAGTTTTCCTCATCTGTAAAATGGGGATAATACTAGCACCTACCTTTCCATGTTGTCATAAGCATCAAACGAGCTATGTGTAAAGAACTTTTCTACGTAAGTGCTAGCTATTGTTTAGGATGATAGAGCTAGTTTATGGTGGCATGGGCTGCCTGGGAGGGCCATGGGCTGCCTGGGAGGGCCATGGGTGCAGTGATCCCGGCCGATCATTTTTCAATCATGTTGCAGAGGAGATTTTTGTTTTGGAAAGGGTTAGAGTCTCCGGTCCCTGGACTTCCTTTCAATTGTAAGCTTTGGTGGTGGTTGTTAAATTGCAATCTAAGTAGAAATACAGGCACTGAGTAGGTTGTAAAGGTGGGGCTCCTCAGCCCACCAGAGTCTTCTTGTAAAAGTCTCATTAATAATAGAAGGTTGCCTGGTAACTCGGATCCATGACATCTCTACAGGGGTAGACTGGAATGGAGTTTGTCATCAGCTTTACTAGCTGGTGGTACCATTTGTGGAAGTGTTGGGGTCTTCCCATTGACTGGTCAGGGCACCATCTCCTCCGGGCAGTGGTGGAGATAACACCGCCAAGTCTGGCCCTTTTCTTCTCAAGTCTGTGTGGATCACCCTCATTTTCCCATGATCACCTACTCACCTGGCTGGTCCCTCGTCTTTTAGTCACGGAATCTCTCTTATCAGGGGCATCAGAGGTCATCCCCCTCCTGCAGCATCTTCCCCTGGATGACCTCCAGTGATGGGGAATTTCCCACCAACCGGACCAACCTTGCCATCTTGGACAAGCTTCCAAGTCTCAATCTCTGAGCTGGAAGGGACTTGGGAAAGCATTTATGCCAACACATACCTGAACCAGAATCAGCTTACCTGACAAGTGGTCATCTGATCCCCTCTGGGTGACCTCCAGGGAGAGAGAACTTAGCGCCTCCCATTCCATTGAGAGGAACCTTTCCTACTTAGGAAGTTTTTCCTTGCATGGAACCTCCGTCAATCTCTCTTTCTCTTTTTTAAATGTAAATAGTATTTCATTTTTGTCCACTTACATGTAAAGGTAGTTTTCAACATTTATTTATTTTTTTCTCTATCTCCTCATTTATTTTTTATTAATTTATTTATTTTTAGTTTTCAACATTCACTTCTACAAGATTTTGAGTTCCAAATTTTCTCCCCATCTTGTCCCTCCCCCCACCCCAAGATGGGATGCATTCTGAATACCCCTTCCCCTAATCTGCCCTCCCTTCTGTCTCTCTGTTCCTTCTCTTATCCCCTTCCCTTTCAATTTTCCTGTAGTGCAGGATAGAATTCTAGACCCCATTTCCTGTATATCTTATTTCCCAGTTGCGTTCAACATTTTTTATAAGATTTGGGGTTCCAAATTTTTCTCCCTCCCCCCGCCCCAAGATGGGAAGCACTCTGATGTAGGTTACACATATGCGATCATGTTAAACATTTATATACTCAGTCTTTTCAGCTTCCTCCCTTTTCTTCTAGTACCGCCCTCTGAAGCCAAGGAGAAAAAAATAGCCCCTCTTCCATCTGATGATAATGACCATGTTCGCTTGTATTTAGATAATGCTTACAAAGCACTTTGTGCGTATTAGCTGATTTGATCATCACAACAACCCCAGAAGGTAGCTGCTATTAGCTTTATTCTCATTTTACAGATGAGGAAACTGAGGCAGGTAGTGGTTAAGTGACTTGCCCAGGGTCACACAGCTAGTCAGTATCTATTGTCTCAATTTGAATTTAGCTCTTCTTGACTCCAGGCCCCGGTTGCTCTGCCAGCTAAGTAGCTGGAAGCACTTTAAGTACCTGCAGGAACTCCAAACAACATGCTGTCATGCCACAAAACGTTTCCATGGGTCGCTGCTTCTGTTAACCTCCCTCATACCTCAGTGTGGCATGTCCCTGAGGGCTTAGCGCAGACTGACCGCTTTCAAACAGCCTCATCAGCACCTCTGCTCTTATGCTGAGCTGCTTACCTGTACTGCTAACCGAGATCATTCATTTTGCATTGATTTTTAAAATAACATCAACAGAGTTTTCTGACCTTGTTTCTAGATCCTGAGGTTGTCATGTATTAGGGACCTTGCATTCCAGAGGAAGTAGGGAATAATGATTATGATAGCATGACAGGCAATGTGCTGGCCTTGAAAGCTAAGAAGATCTGGGTTCAAGTCCTGTGTCTGACATTGGCTGGGTGACCTGGGGCAACTCATTTCACCTTTCTTGGGTTGCTGGTTGTTGGTGTTGGCACAGGCAGTTGAGATGGGTCCCCAAGATGGAGGAAGGGGGAGGGGAATATATATTTCTATAGTGCCTACTGTGTGCCGGGCATTGTGCTAATAAGTGCTAATAAATAATAAATAATTGCGCTTTAACAATTATTATCTCATTTGATCTTTGCAACAACCCTTCCAGGAAGGTGCTATTATTATCCCCATTTTATAGTTGGGGAAACTGAGGCAACCAACGGTCAAGTATCTTCCAAGATTCTCTTGGCTAGTAAGTGTCTTGAGGTCAAATTTGTACTCAGATCTTCCTTACTCTGGGGCAGCTAAGGTGGCACAGTGGATAGAATGCTGGCCCTTGAATCAGGAAGAACTGAGTTGAAATCTGACGTCAGATAATTACTAGCTGTGTGATCTTGGGCAAGTCACTTAACCACTACCTGCCTCAGTTTCCTCATCTGTAAAATGGGCTGGAGAAAGAAATGGCAAATTACTCCAGCATCTCTGCCAAGATAACCCCAAATGGGGTCAAGAAGAGTTGGACACGATGGAAAAAAATGACTGAACTTCCTTATTTCAGGCCCAACTCTCTATCCATTGTACCACCAGTTGCTTCTTTGAGGGGCTGAGCTCTGGGCTTGAGGCTTTCTCGCTAACCCTTGCCTACCTCCCGAATAACAGCTTCCATTCATGGTGGATTGCTTGAGACCAAATACTTTTCTCACGGCACTCTTGCCCCTTTCACCCTGTCCGCAGACAGTAATTGTATTATACCTGTTTTTGAGGCTGAAGAAACTGAGGCGCGGAGAGTTCGTGCTAAATGTACATGGGGCTCTGATGCTTATTACGCTTTGTGTTCTGGGACAAGTCATTTCTCTGCTCTGAACCACCCATTTTCTGGGAGGGTTGAACTAAACAGAGCCCCCTTCTTGCTGTAGGACTTTGATTCTTAGGGCTGGACTGGTCCGCTCTTTTCATTTAGCAGATTAGGAAGTTGCATGGTGGTGACTAAGAGGGATTTGAACCCAGGTTTCTTCTGACCCAGAGGCTAATGCTTTTTCTGATATAATATACGACATTACCTTTGTCACCTGCCCATTGCTATTTTCAGTTTTATCTGACTTTGACAATGTATTCCATACCCATAGTCCCCCACCTCTACCAAAAAAGAAAGGAAAGGAATGTGGACCCAAAGAAGGGAAGGGAGGGAATAGTCTTAACTCTTCCATTGGTGAGTTGGTTGGTTTTACCTAACTGTCTTTTCTTTTCTTTTCTTTTCTTTTCTTTTCTTTTCTTTTCTTTTCTTTTCTTTTCTTTTCTTTTCTTTTCTTTTC